TGCCCTAGGAAACTCCTAACACCTTTCACATTCACAGGCGGGGGAAGTTTTTCAATGACATCTATTTTAGCTTTGTCAACTTCAATCCCCCGACTAGACACCACATGGCCTAGCACAACACCACTAGTCACCATAAAGTGACTCTTCTCCCAACTTAAAGTCAAGTTCGACTCAATGCATCTTTCAAGAACACGAGATAAATTATGGAGACAATTAGAAAATGAAGTACCAAAAATTGAAAAGTCATCCATAAATACCTGTAAGCAGTCCTCGAGCATATCAGAAAAGATGGAGAACATGCACCGTTGGAAGGTCCCGGGTGCATTGCATAGGCCGAAGGGCATACGTCTGAAGGCGAATGTGCCGAACGGGCATGTGAAAGTTGTCTTAGGCTGATCCTCCGGAGCTATGGCCACTTGGTAGTAGCCCGAGAGTCCGTCCAAGAAGCAATAGAACTGGTGGCCGGATAGTCGGACGAGAATTTGGTCAATAAACGACAACGGGAAATGGTACTTCTTGGTCACGGCATTGAGCCGTCTGTAGTCAATGCACATCCTCCACCCGGTGGTAATGCGGGTAAAAACCATCTCATTCTTTTCATTCTCAATCACCGTAATTCCTCCTTTCTTGGGCACCACATGAATGGGACTCACCCACTCACTATCTCCCACCGGATAAATGAGGCCCTCGGAGTAAAGTTTCAGCACCTCTTTCTTTACTACCTCCATCATGTTCGGGTTTAACCGCCGCTGGCTGTCACGAAATGGCTTGGCCCCTTCCTCCAAAACAATTCGATGCATGCAAGTAGAAGGGCTGATCCCCTTTATGTCGCCAAGGATCCAACCGATGGCCTTCTGGTTCTTCTTTAGCACCTCAATCAGTTCCTTTTCCTCTTCTCGGTTGAGCTCGGCAAAGATTATCACCGGCTTTTTCTTCTCATCATCAAGGAAGACATACTTGAGGTGACGAGGCAATTCTTTTAACTCTATTGCTGGTGGGGTTATCGATCTCAGCTCTTCGACTTCCATCAACAACTCAATAACCGGGCCTTCCTCCTCCTCAAGTTCGGGCATCAATCTCTCTTCCAAATCTCGAACGGCTACCTCTTCCACGAATGGGTCACTCACATCTACAAAAGCACACTCCTCCACAAAGATCACCGAGGATGCCGAGGTGGCTTCTCGGACGGAAATGGACACGGATTCACCTAAGACAGTCATGTTCAAGGTTTCATTCCTCACGTCAATGAGTGTGTTGGTAGTGGCCATGAATGGTCTACCAAGAAGG